ACAAACCAGCGGGTTGCGAAGGTGATGTTAATGAGTCGATTAGTTAACTATTGTCTTCATTTGTGTTGTGTTTGGGATTACACAAAAGCCTAGCGAAAACAAGATAACTGCAAGGTTATATTAACCACTAATTGAATCTTGCATTCATCTCTTAAAAAGGCACAATGTTCTGGATGATTTATTTTTGCAATAATCGTTAAAAAAAACCTGCCTTCCTTAAAACTGCGGGCCGCGATCTCTTGATTCTAGGAAAAGATCACATTAAAATGAGGCAACACAAAACAGTTTAATATGCTCTCGGTGTTTTTGTTCAAAGGATTGTTAGTCTGAATTTTTTTCAGAATGATAGATTGGATCATTGCAATTATTATGCTAAGTTTAATCTATCCTAAATATTTAGTTTTATATTTTTCATCCGCTTTTCCCGACCACAGGAAATTTTTGTGTAATTTTATACTTGAGTAATGTTTACTTTGCATGCCATTTGACGTAAGCTTTCCTAAATTATTCTCATGTTAAATTTTAAAAGTTAGATAATTAGTGATATTTCAAAGTTGAGAGAAAAACTTCATTGTCATTTTTGTGGTTTTATCTCAACATGCGTCTCTTCTCAGACTAATTTTGTGATAATTATCCTTGTTGACACCCTGCTTATTTCCTCTGTTGATTACAAGTATTTCCTGTGGTGCCCATAAGTGGCTTAACGTGTTAAGAATAATTTATTTCCTGCTTGTCATGACAAGCTTGTCTTTTCTGTTTTCCTTATGGAAATTTCTTTTTGCACCTGCCACCCTTTCACTTCCAAGATCAAAATATCATTTCTCTGTACTGTCTTCCACACATTCCACATTTTATTTATCTTTTTACTAAGAATTTGTTGCTAAATCAAAAAAACATCCCAATTGATATATTTCTTCCTTCCCTTCTGCTTTATATTGTAAGGAGATTTCCTTTGAATCTCTCCTGGGAATGAAAGAGTAAAATTTACTATCCAAATTGTTTCTTGTTTCCATGGAAACCATTTGATCCTGAAACTTTGAGACTGAATTTCCACTAGCTATCATGACTCAGGATTGGTGATGAAGTGGTAACAGTTGTATATTACCTGGAGTTTTTTTTTTTGTTTGCTTTTGTAATATCAATCTACATTGACTTTTTTGGCTATTACTCTTCAACTAGGAAAAGTTTTAAGGCTTTTTGAAACCATGAGAACCCTAAATGGAATGGGAGTTTTCCTGAGGGTCATAGATATGACTAGATATAAAAAGTGTGCAAAAGAAGTGAGGTTATCCAGTTGTTAACCAGAGTTCACCCCTGGGGGTAAAGATTGTGGAACTCAGGGCTGTTAATATGTCCCTGTGCAAAGCTTAGTAAACTACAAGAAGGAACCCCTTTTCTAGGTAATACTGAGCTCTGTAAATTTTCAGAAGACCCATAATAAATCATTGCTATTGATGACTTGAGGATGGATCACTTTTCTTATAGAACTGCTGGTAATGCATCATATGTGATTGGAACACTGGCTGAGACAGACCTAGGTAAAAGACGAATTGTTCAGATATGCACAGACAAAGGTGACCAGGCCAAGAAAATTTTGCCGGCACTCACAAACATGCTGGACATGGCTGATACAGAAACTGTCATGAATGCTGCAGGAACTATGGGAACATTGGTAAGGCTTTACATTGAATAACTGTTTTACAGAGAGATAATTTGCATGATTGAGAAAATTTTGTTTTAAAGGACAATAGATTCTTAGATGATGTCACCTTAAACAAAATTTCACTTCTCTATTGTGGAAGACAAAATGGTTCCATGTTTCTACATTTATGTTGAATAATGGATCACAGAAGACATCAAAATGTGGTAAAAAAACATCAGTGACACACTCAGCTGTGACTCATGTGCGGCTTTTTTGTTCTTATTACATTTTATTGTCATCTGTGATCTACCACTGAGTATATGCAGGAGAACATGAAATCCAGGTTTTCAACTGGTACCTGCAGCAAATCACTTTTGGTAACAAAAATTTGAACAAATATCACTCTTTGTTCTTGTGATATGATGTGAAGAATCTTCCCACAAACTTTTGCTCAAAAGTTGGAGGAAACTTCAGAAGAACTTTAAACAAAATTCTGTGATTTTTGTTTGCATTATTTTTGCATGTTACTGCACAAAATATGACCCAACCTATTATAACCTATTATAGAGTCTTATCCCTTATTCAGGAGTTATACACAAGTCTGAATTACATTCAGCTGATCCAGTGGGTATTGAATATCCAAATTTTGATAACATCTCTAGGCAGAAGATGGGGAATGCCGTATGTGGATGCTACGCGAGGACTGCTTGGATGAAGCTATCATCAAACTAACAAACCTTCTATCTTCCAAAGACATGTGTACAGCTAGTAATGCTGCCTTGGTCTTAGCCAGGTAATTTTATTTCCAAGATAAAAAAGGAAAATTCTACATGAAGAAGTATATCTGCATCTCTTATTGACAGTTAGAGGTATCAAAATGTGAATTAGCTTAATTGACAGTGAGAGTAGATTGATTTCAACTGAGTTTTGAAAGAACAATTCATGTAAGATTTGTTGTTCACAAATTTCAGGCTGACAATTGCAGAAGAAGGCCGTGCCAGGATTTTGAACCATCGTAGTTCGAGTCATACGTTAGTACAGTTGTGTAGAGCATTGGGATCTGATGAGACAGGTATAGGGCTTTTTTCATTGTGCCTATAACATATGTCATCTGTAATAGAGGCTCAAGATGAAAACAAGTTGTTTCAGTCTGGTCTTACTTGATTCTAAGTTATTCAGGGTGGAAATACATTAATTGTCAATTAATGTGCCTTAAATTTAAAATTAATAAAGATTTTTCAGGCAATAATTTCATATCAGTTGGCCAATATTACCATATTATGTACCTGATGGGTTGCTTTAACCCTTTAATCTCTAAGAGTGATTGGTAACTAATTTCCCCAAGGTGTATCACCCTTGAATCAAACACTAGGGTCACTGCAAGAATATTATAATAGGAATTGATCACTACAACTAAGAAGCTCTTGATTGTTCAACAAATTCACCTTGACAGCGCCTCAGGAAATATATGGTGAACATTATGGAGAATATGCTTGCTGATCTTAAGGTGTAAATGGTTAATTAAAGAGAGCTGGATTGAGATAAAAAGGTGTTACGTGGGTTTTTGCAGCTTTCACTCTTGTGCATTAAACTAGCAGAAGATTGTTGAATCATGGGGAAAGAAAACAAGCAGAATGGTCCTAACTAATGAAAATTATTTTGAAAACAATTTAAAGCTATGAAATAATATGAAAAAGCCCTAGGAAAGGTCATTGGTCCAACCTTTTGTAATATTGTTGTTTAAGTTTAACAAGAATGCTTGCTTTGCATTAAGCTGCATAGCATCCTTAGCTCAAGGACATCAGTGCCTGCTGAATCATGAGAAGATTAATAGCATTGTTGACATTCTTTGCTCTCTCCTGGCTGCAACCCAGGTAAAAATATAAGGTGGGATCCTGCCAATCCCACCTGGGATCCCAGGTGTGTCCCGGGTGGGATCCCACCTTTTTCAGGTGGTATCCCGGGTGGGATTATGGAACATCCCGCATGGGATCCCACCTGGGATTATGGAACATCCCGGGTGGGATTATGGAACATCCCGTATGGGATCCCACCTGGGATTATGGAACATCCCGCATGGGATCCCACCTGGGATTATGGAACATCCCGCATGGGATCCCACCTGGGATTATGGAACATCCCGCATGGGATCCCACCTGGGATTATGGAACATCCCGCATGGGATCCCACCTGGGATTATGGAACATCCCGCATGGGATCCCACATGGGATTATGGAACATTCCGCATGGGATCCCACCTGGGATTATGGAACATCCTGCATGGGATCCCACCTGGGATTATGGAACATCCCCCATGGGATCCCACATGGGATCCCGCCAATTGAAGTTGGGATCCCGCCAATTGAAGTTGGGATCCCGCCTTAAATTCCTAATAGCATCCCACCTGGGAAAGCACATCCCGGGCAGGATTAAACCTAGAATCCCACCAATCCCTCTTGGGATCCTGCCTCAAATTTCAGATAGTTTCCCACCTGGGATATCATATCCCAGGCGGGATTGCATCTGAGATCCTGCCAATCCCAGTTTAGACCCTGCATAAAATTACAGATGGCTTCCCACTTTCAGAAAAATCCTTTGAGGGATCCTGTTTATCACTGGAGACCACAGATTTATAAAATGTACCAGATAGGATATCTTATCAATTCCTTTTGTAACCTAATCCATAAAATTAAGAGGATAAATATTTTCTAGGTGAGCTATAGACCCCATCAATCCACTGAGGGTCCAAAACTTTCCAACTAGCTATAGAACATACTGACACCTCCAATGGGATCCCATTGTCTTACCAAGCTGTTAATCATAAATGATTCAAACAGTACATGAATACACAGACTATATGTTATAAAGATCTCATAATTTATTTGCAATGAACCAGCATGTGTTTGATATGTTTCATTAACAAATTTCTTAACCGAACATTGTTAAATAATAACAGCACAACTCAGCATATTACTTTTTCTTCATCATTTAAGCAGACCATCTACAGTGTAATAAGGCTCCACGTTTAAAAAAATTGGCTGATGTGTATCAAAGAATAGAAGAAAGACAAAACCTCAATAATTCATGTTATCAAAATTTTGACAAAGGTACTGATTGAAAGTCTGCTCTCTCTTCAGTCGAATTGTTCAAAGCAAAGCAAGGTCAGAATGTTCCCAAATGTGACTAAAGTAATCTTGAAACCTTACTCATAGATTTATTTCATTGTAAAGTGTAAGCTTAGGAAACTGCAGCATGCAAGTGACCAATTCGATTCTCAGAATTATTTGAGTTTCAGTTGCGCTGAGCGTTAGGTAAGCTTAATCCAAGCCGTTATTTCTATTCTTTGATAAGATTTTGATCACGTAACGAATATGGCAATTTGTACTCACCACAAACTTCTAAAAATCCTAGCTTTAAATGGCCACTCGATCGTTGTTTGAACCATTCGATATGTCAACTGTTAATTGTCCCTTCTTTTAATTCCACGGCGCCAACGACTTTCTTTTCATTTAAAACACTCACGCTGTTCTCGTTTTCCCATTGAACCACAATAAAACTCATCTTTAGAAGTGTTATATTACGCAAAACAATTGAGAAAAGAAACAACTTCAAGCAAGAGCGGTTAACCGATGAAAAGTACATTCAAAGATGAGCGCCAAATGGAGTTTTCTTTGTTTCCGATCACGGGCATGATCACGTGGACCTTTTAGCAAAGAGAATCCGCTGGCTTGACCCATTGCAGTCTCAAGAGAAGCGCGCAACATTATTCTGTCTCTTCTGACCGGTTCTCCTCTCATGTTTTGATGATGACATAAATAATGATGTGAATTCACTCTAAGTAGAAATAATCGACAAGAATCAAACAAGAATGCACGATTTGTGGCCGAAAGTTTTCGAGGAAAGAAAGACTCGAAACCCACTTGAGTTATGTTCACGGCGAAGGTGAGAAACAACACAAGCCAATCACATTAGGAAGTAAAAGAGATACCTAGATGATCCCAGTGTACTAGTACCCAAATCAACAAGGCTTGACCACAACAAGCGTTCAGCAACACGTTCCAACACAGCTAGCCATCTCGATTCCTCAGTCGGTCTTTCCACTGAACTAGCAGTGGTGCCAACAGAGTCAAGTGCGTCTCATAACGGAGAAAACATTTGCACAAGAGACAGAAGCAACTACATGCGATTACAGAGGTGCATTGGAATTCTCGTCTGCAAATGGTTTTGCACAGTCCGAAGCGTTCCCGAGCTCGGAAAGGGGTGGAGAGGACGAAGATACAAGGTTGTCATTTTATACTACAAGTAAAATTTTATACCAGACCTACAAGGTATAGAAAAATTTTGTTGATCGCTGACTCAGAGAAGAACAACAAGTAAACTTTAGAGCTGTTATTATTGAACTGTGACTTGTACTTTTCATTTGTATGTAAAGAAGGAATTGTATTTTGCACCAAAAATATAAAGAAGTAATATTTTTTAGGAGGTCCAGTGATTGGGACATTTAAGAAATTAAGTAATGAAAAGAAACTCGGTTTGTACTTCTCACTACTAACAAGGCTTGTTTTAAAAATATTTTCAGATCAGAGTTTCAAATAAAGCAAATTGAACAAGTCATTTAAAAGGTGTATTTTCTCGAAGGGAACAGTGACCACCTCTGTCTTGTCCGCATGCCAAATATTTGCAGAGTGTGTGGATGATCCATAAGTATTGGAACTCTCACAAAAATGTTTTGTAAGAATAAAAACAGCAAAACAATATTTTCGTGGGTGGGATAAAGAATCCCAGGTGGGATATGTAAATCCCGACCAGGATCCCGGGTAGAATGCATAAGTCCCACCTAAGATCCCGGGTGGGATGCAGGAATCCCGCATTAAATGCGGGATCCCAGGTGGGATCAAATTTTCATCCCAGGTGGGAAAGGTGGGATCCCACCACCTAGGGCGGGATCCCGCCATTCCCACCTGGGATCCTGGGTGGGATTGCCGGGATCCCGCCTATATCCCGCCTGACATTTTACCTGGGAAGTGATGAAGAAAGCATCTGGTTTGCATCAATGTAAGTGAAAATAGGATTGCATTGACTGTGTTTTACTGACCATATAAGTGATATAAATGTACTTCTTTTGCTAGTTAGTTAGTCTGTTTATTGTTGAAAGATATGTTGAGCCACAAACAAAGGGGAAAAGAAAAAAACAAATCAAAACAAAAGAAAGATTGGCAAACTGATCCAGGTTGAATTCAAACTAATCCAGGTTGAATTCAAACTAATCCAGGTTGATATGGATAACTTGATGAAGAACAAAGTAATGTGTAGTAGATTGAAACAAATTGACCTGAAGAACAAATTGACGCACAACAGGTGCATTATGTAGAAAGAGCAAAGATATAAAACCTTTAAAAACATAATTCTAACAAAAATTAACATTAATTATTAGGCTGCTGTCTACTACTCACTACCGGTAAATGAATACTGTGTTTTGAAGTTCTTTTGATAACCTGTTTTGACTAGAATGATTTTAATAGGTATGTGTGTGGTTAAAACCCTTAGTTATTGGAACTCATAGTTTTCTATGCCATGTACTTACAACAAATACACTAACATTGCGTATTCTTTACTTTTCTGGAAAACGTAAAGGATGTTGCATACCTTTGCCAGTCAAAAAAGTGGCTGTTTGTATCTCAGGACTCGGCCCAATGTGAGGGAATCCTTAGAGGTTGGTACTCAATATGTTTTCTGTGTTAAATTCGGTCCTTCCATTGTCATGTGGGAAATAAGGTTAGATATTGGGCACTTTTGAAAAGACAAATTCACTATTCATTTAAGTAATAGACTACTACATGTTTGTTGTTGTGTTGCATGTATTAGATGGTATACAATAACATCAAGTTGCAATCTCTAATAATGCCTTTTATTTAAGGGCACTGGTTAGTTTGTCATTTTTATCCTTTCATTTTCACTTCATGTAAATAGCTATTCTCCACATCATATGTCGTGCATTGCTTATAATATAAGATCTAAGAACAAAGTTCCCTATCTGATATTTTCCTTTCCAATAACCTTTCTGCTAATTAACAATTTAGTGGTGTTGCAAGGAGGATCGAATCCCTTTTTGGTCACTCATGGAGTGCTAA